ATTTTATTTTTTTTTATGTATATATATATACATTTTTTTTCTGGATAGAGATTCTGGACAGATCTGTTGGAGCCATGTAATGTAAAGCAGCCATATTGTTAGTATTATCACAAAACAACACACATGACTGACCTAAAACGTACCGTATATAGCGTGTCCATGTAAAAAGCATCTATGACGGCGTTATGTTGAACAATGATCAGCCACACATTAAACCATATGAGAAGCTGTTTGTAGAGAGAACCCACAAGCTTCAAGAAAAGTTTCACTTGTAGTCATGAAGACATTTATTATCACGTTGTCATTTATTCATTACTTTCTCCCTCTCAGCTTAACCTTTAGAGTCCTACTCCTTCATATTGTAGTGTAATGTTCCTACTTCGTTCTATTATCCTCAGGTAAATCTAAAGGTAATTTCTTCTTGCGTCACTTCATGTAATAAAGTGAGTGTAAATCTACCACTCATATAAACACAAATTCCAGTATCATCCCCTTCGTCAGTCATAGTGAACGCACCTACAGTGGTGTGAAAAAGTGTTTGCCCCCTTACTGATTTCTTATCTTTTTGCATGTTTGTCACACTGTAATGTTTCAGATCGTCAAACAAATTTATATATTAGTCAAAGATAACACAAGTAAACACATCATGCAGTTTTTAAATGAAGGTTTTTATTATTAAGGGAAAACAAAATCCAAAACTATATAGCCCTGTGTGAATTGGGTTCTGCAGCAGGACAATGATCCAAAGCACACCAGCAAGTCCACTTCTGAATGGCTGAAGAAAAACAAAATGAAGACTTTGGAGTGGCCTAGTCAAAGTCCTGACCTGAATCCAATTGAGATGCTGTGGCATGACCTTAAAAAGGCAGTTCATGCCCGAAAACCTTCCAATGTGGCTGACTTACAACAATTCTGCAAAGATGAGTGGGCCAAAATTCCTCCACAGCGCTGTGGCAGACTCATGGCAAGTTATCGAAAACGCTTGATTGCAGTTGTTGCTGCTAAGGGTGGCCCAACCAGTTATTAGGTTTAGGGGGCAAACACTTATTCACACAGGGCTATATAGTTTTGGATTTTGTTTTCCCTTAATAATAAAAACCTTCATTTAAAAACTGCATGATGTGTTTACTTGTGTTATCTTTGACTAATATATAAATTTGTTTGACGATCTGAAACATTACAGTGTGACAAACATGCAAAAAGATAAGAAATCAGTAAGGGGGCAAACACTTTTTCACACCACTGTATGCTACCGTATAATATATCCCTTCCAGATTCTTCGTTCCCACCAGCAGCATTAAGAAAAGGATGATTTTAGTATTAAATTACAAGAAAGGAATTTAATATCAAAATATAAATTTAATTTCAAATGTTGAGTTTAGCAGTATTGTTCAGATAGATATAGGAACAAAAGTGAGGAGTATATTTCAGGTTTTAAGAAAAGCATATTGGTATAACAGAATTCATTCACTCTTACGGATCAACACTGTGTATTTAATAAACACTCAGTCAAACAAGCAATACAGCAAGTATTTACAAAACCTTTGTCATTATAAAAATAGCTGCTGCTTAGGTGCACTACCTTTAACAATAAACAGAGAAACAATATCCCTTCTAGGGCTCAAAACATACATTTGCATGTATTGATGAGAACATAGACATACATTTTGCAACAGGGGTAGGATTTCAGGCAGGTGTTAGAAATGACGCTAAGCCACCACAGTGACCTTTGTTTTATAGTTTGAGCCCTCGATTTGGACCAGGTCAAAGTACACAGTCCAACTATTACAAAAAAGTGTCTCATAGCGGGAAATTTTTCATGGCAGTGACAGTAAAGGTTTAGAACTCAGATTATAATCCTGCATTTCCCTCTGCCTTTTTTCTTTTTCTATTATATCAGTGTGAAAACAGTGGGATTACAGTATTATCTTTCTTTATATTTAGAAGTCAAAGTGTCAGTATGTCATGAATTCATTTTGAAATACTTACTGGAGGCTAATGGCTACATTATATTGCCATAGCTATCATCTTCGCAATTTAGGATGAACAGTTCTATTTGACCCCTTGATTAGAGGATGTTTCAAGTTAAACCTCTCATTCTCCTTTTACAAGTATGTAAGACCATGTACAAACAACTGTCCATCCATAGTCTGTTGTGCTCTACCTGATAAACATTCAAGGTTTAAATGCTTTACTTAACAATGGTGGCACTAATTTATCCAGAGGATGTTACACAGTCAGATCCTTCTGCAGGAGAGTTCTAGGTCTTGTACTGTACAGTTTAGGACTGTTCGACTGTATATTATATTGTGGAATGTCTTGTTTTAATCTAAAATTTAGAGTTAATGCAACTCATGCTTTAGAGTGAAGAGAATGCTACTGTTCTTCAAACAAACAAGTCAGTGATCGCAGTCATCAGGTACTGTTCATTATATCCTCATTATGTTCTCACCGCGACTCTGACCTATAAGCTCATACTGTTGTATCCCAGCTCTGATGGCTGCCACACAGTGTTGTCTCGGGGACAGTGGCTGTGGCAGGCACAGGTCAGAATCACCATGACCAGCCTCCTGGTGTTTTTGCCATTGGCACACTGGAACTCCACCAGGGCAGTCTTGGTTCTGTGGGGGGTACAGCAGCGACCGTCTGTGCAGGAGCCACAGTAGTGAGTCTTGTAAGCGTGGACACTTGTGCAGTTCTTGTAGGAGAGGTGGACGGCTTTGTCGCTCCTCACCATCCTCTGGCACCTGCTGCCTCTCTGCACAGAGATAAAGATTCATACACTGAATGAATGTGTGCTATATCTCTGTAGAAAAGAGTGTCATACTATGTGAGTGCCTCTTTAAAATCTAGCTGGTTCTTAACAGAAAATAATAACAAAAAATAAGCAAGGATGGATCCAGAATCTGATTGGCCACCTCTACCAGTCAGACAAAATGTGATGAATAAAAAATGAAAAACAATACAACTAACATTTTTGGTGTTTTATTATTGATATTGGTCCACTTAATTTTATTTTCTATCATGCATGGATCACTGTGCAGCAGTGAAGTCCTCAGACAGGAGTAGATAAGGAGCGCAGCCAGAGTTAGCTATAGAAAACACTATGGGGGTCTCATTTTTACATAAAATAAACAATTAGATTTTTATAATGTATGACCTATTATTTCACAGAACTAGGGGTTTAATTTACTTTTTTTAAATGTATTTTAATTGCGCCACCCCTCTCTGAGTCTGTGCCCCAGCCTGGGCACCCTGTCCAAAATTTTCTAGGTCTGCCCCTGATCATATGAATTTTCCTGCTGCTGGCAGCCAACTAAGATACAACAAATGCAAGAACCCATACATAACGAATATGCCAACCAATTTGTTACAAAGAACTACCCAAAATTACCTGGAGTGCAACCTGTGTCAGGTGCATGTGGTCCTGCTGGTGGTCACAGGGTCTAATCATGCACAGACGACTCTGCTTCACCATCTCACACTGGCGGTTCTTGTTGGTGACTCTAGTGGACAGCCCCATACCACAGGTTTGTGAGCAGGCACCCCACTCTGTGGTCTGCTCAATGCAGTTCAAGCTGGGGTCCCAGCCATCAAAGCCCACTGTGTCCTCCTGACGATAGGCTGAAGGACCACACCGAAAGACAGAGGAGAGTGTGTTAGAATGGAGAAAGAAATCAGTTGTAGTAGTGTCACACAACTTGAAAACTTGAAAGTATTTCAAAAGTAAAGGTTGAACTGCTTAGTCTTAAGAGAACACATCTCTCAAACTTTGTTTTTATATGCAAACCCTCTATAAATAAACATTTCAAAGCATATTCTAAGAAAACCTATAGGCAATATGATCAGTGATGCGTTTGGATTCAAGTAACTGCAGACTGATGTATCACATTACTGTATGACATTCCAGACTGAAGTGACAACATCGTCTCTTTTGTCTGTTTCCTCCTATTTTCTCAGACCTTAATCTACTTTCCAAGAGGTCAGATAAATGTATACAACCTTTTAACTTAGTGTGACACCAAGGTCAAACAGGACTTTTATATCTGTGTGTATGTTCTGCATACAGTATTTGGTACCTCTTGTCCCATCTCACCCTAGTCCCAGGCTACTCACCTGCCATGGCGAAGCCTCCCAGTGCACTGGCCTCAGCACGAGGCTCACACACCCACTTCTCGCAGCACTCTCCAGGCACCTGGATCCTCCTTGGCATGGGGCAGTCGGGCCCAGGTAACATTATGTCCACGTTGCAACGAGGTATGCAGCCGATCTGCCCATCATGACACATGCACTGGTACTTACAGCTGGGGAGGAAAGTCTGGCCATCCTGGTAGACAGAGCCATCCAAAACACACACTCGTCCTTTGTGAGCTTGAGAGAAAGTGGGGAGAAAAGATTTGTGCTCACAAAACATTTATCATATAGAGGACACCCTGTTATACAGTGCTTGTTAATGCCATTACCAACAACAGCTCACCCACCAGCACAGATACCAATCCGCTTGTGGACATCAGCTGTGTAGTCACAATGCAGTCCTTTACGTGTGTCACAGGGATTCATTTCAGAGCAGAGCTGCCCTCTCTGATGGGCGCACACCAAGCAGCAGGCACAGTCATCCAGGATCAGGGGCACCCCTGGGAGACACATGGGTGGCTCCTCAGGGCACTGGCATCTTCGAGGACACATCTGGGACCAGACTAATGTCAACACCTACACAGGAAAGAAAAGACGTGTTGGTGTTTTACTGTACATGTTGGTACATATCACTTTCTTTAAACCAGTCGCTATGACAAATTATTGACACCTGGGATTAAATGTTACACACAAATCTACAAATCAAACCCTAAATTCACAAGATCCAGAAGCTGGTAAACATTTTGTAGGGTGGTGTAATATTTTGTGTCTCCTGAAAAAAAAAACAGTGAAACTAATAGAATAGCAAATTGTGAGTAACTTTAGTAAAGTTTATTAAGTTATTTGTTCACTGAAACAGTAGTTAAAAACATGATTTCCATTAATCAAATTAAGCAAGTTAAGGTATTGTTTAATGCTTCGTAATTAAAGTTGAGTTCATCTGCAAAAAATTACAAAATGTACATAGTCTTCATGCCTTCTGATTTAAAAAGAGCTTCAACATTGAAAATAATGTTGTTTCCATAATGTAACAGTGCCATTTAAAAACCTAACGCTGCAGTGTAAATCACTACCTAAAACACAAACATACAGGAATACTGAGCTGCTGTTGGAATGCCTACCTGTGATGTAAAGGAAAACATAAACAGAGTTCTCCCTGATCGATTGATGACCATCTTCTTGATACTTAGAGCAGAATCAAAACCAGAATCACAAATATCTGCAGTCAGAAAAGTAATGAGTTTAGTTCAGATGACAGGAGATGACTTGAGTGCAGAAGGTTGGGAGAGGAGGACCTTATATAACAGGGCTGTTATGACAACAAACAGAAAGGAATGTTAGAGAGATCTCCCACAGAGTTGGAGGAAGTGTGGGATCCTGTGAAAGATGGTATACAGACAGAGAGAAGGTTCAGCACTGACAGTTTAACATTCTGCAGAAAAAAACATATGCATAGTTCCCCAGTTATAATTAATTATTGTAAATTATATAATTGTACATTCTTTAATCTGTCCACACATTTTTCTTACACACTTCACTTTTTTTCTATCTACATATCCTTATTGGGGAATCCTTCTGCAGTTCGTGATTTTCAAATTATTACACTGGGTCTTGGAGTTCCCTAGTGTCCCACTGAGAATGGATGGTGACCCTATGACCTCTACACACCCTACATGGTAGGTCACAGTTTAAACCCTCTTATTCCCTGTAGAATCATTCTTACTTCCTAAAATAGCAACACAGTGCAAACTTTGGTCTATCAATAGCTTGGATCAGTGCGCCCTGACATGGTGTTCAACTCATCTGGTTGGAGCAGAGGAATGTGGACTGATTAAGGGTGAAGCTGAGTGAATCCCTGAATGGAAAGTAACTGAAAAGATCAGAGTTATATCCCACTCCTTCAAATAAGTGCGGTTTTCGTGACTCTGTTATGCATTCCATTTCTTCTAAATTGCTGTGTTGAATTGATAAAACAGATTGCTAGTGAATGATAAAACTCACAGAGCCAAATGAGTAAGTAGAAATTGTGCATGTTGCACTTTAGCGCCCTCCAGTGGTTGAACTAAAACACGCTGCCGCCACCCCCTTTAACAAGCTGCGCTACTTGCCACTACATTTCTTTAGAATAAGAAAGTTATACCATTAAATAGTAATATGCTCTCAGAAATATGTTAAACACACATGGAGTAGGTTGACTTGAGAGTTCCACTAGTGTTCCACCTTCACACACCGCAGAGCATATGGACTACATTCACAGGTGGTGGAGCATGGGCAATAGAATGGACAGTGGACACGTTTAATGTCGAAGAAAAGCTAATTTAAAGATTAACAGTAAGACTGAGACGGAGAGTGCAGACAAGTTGGAAAAATAAGACAACTTTCAGAGGGGGAATCAATGGATCCTTGTAACTTCTGCAGCCTGCTTAAAGGTTGGGAATGAAATATATATAAAAAAAGATGAACTGCAAACTGAACTGCTAAGACGTGTTTTGTAACTCGTGTTAGGTATGGCAGTCAAGTTTGTTAGACATTTTTATTATGATTTATTGAGGGCTGTGCAGAGTCGTTAGCTGTGATGTCTCTTTTCTGTCATTATAAGAAGTGTTAATGTCTGAAACTAGTTATAGTGACGCACAGCTAGCGATGGGGATAATGGTGTTGTTAGTCCACAGGTCCATCTAGAGATGAAGCCATGGCGAAGCTGGAGTTTCTGTAACAGGATGTTAGGCTCTTTTATTTCTAAACTGTAGCATTGTGTGACTGTTTCGGGTGTGTAGACACTTTATTTTGTTGTATTTTTAATTACAAATTTGAAGTTGAAGTAGGCTCACGTTATAGTGAGAGCACCACCACAGGTGTTTCAGGTGTTCAGGCTGATTGGGTGGACACGCCCACTCAGGCTGGATAAGAGATCCAATTGGCCAAAGTAAATAGACACTGTGGCTTTATATGGGTTAGGTTAGGGGGCTTTTAAGGAGAGTTTCTAATATTATGTAATAATTATTGTTAGAGATCAATACCATTGATTTGAATTTGAGCCATATCTGTTGAAAGAAGCTGTGTGACAATGTAATTATTAAACAGGATTTCCTTTTAGAGTAATATTTAAGCCAACATGCTGTAGGAATTCAGTGTTCAACATGTTCTGTTTTTGACTCTTGACTTGTACCAGTTGGTTCCACCCGCTGCAACCAGCTTCATTTATAACTCTTTCTGTCATCTGTTGCTCCAGCAATAGATCTCGTTCTCCTCAAAATGTTAACAATATGTGACCTAGAAACCTCTTACAACAAACGCATCAAACCAGCTGTTTTGGATAACATTTATATACAAGTTCCAACTTAAGCTCCCATCAGTGAAGTATCTCATTGCCAAGCAGCTGGACTTCTTGTCCATCCTCAGTGAGAGAAAAAGTGAGGTTAAAGAGGCTTGTTAGATGATTCGGGATTCCAGTGAGTGGTGGGTAGCCTTGCCAAAATTTTGATTGAAGGCTATTTAAACAGTTGGCCCATGGAAGTTGAAGAATGTCGAACTTCACAGGATGGCTGTGTTTGCCAACGCTCTGTGGAGCTCTGTTCTGTTACTGTTTCTGCTTCAGTCTTTTTCAAGTAAAATCTGCCTAATCTGTCTAGTGGGACTAACCAGAGGACATTTGCCATGGTTTCTTTACTCTCGGTAAACAAAGGATCACACATGAATTGAGTTTTATAGGTGATATGGCTCAAACTGATACAGTACTGAAATAGCAGTGACTGGCCCAGAGAATCAGCTGTTGTGTTGATTTGTCAAGATAAGTTTGTATAGCTTATTTCTCTCCTCTGATTTCTTCAGAAATTTGAATACAGGCCTGTGGTAGCACTTGTAGTTGTTGACATTTTACACCTTGTGTTATTATCACACTCGTCTTTTGGTTTACCCCCTAAAATGTGCTTCATGCTCCAGTGGTAGGTTCAGCTGTTTTACTCTGAATAAAGGCAGATTCCACAGGTAAAGCCTTTCACAAGCAGTCAGTCGACTTGCTGCTGTAGCTGTTGGTGTGTGTCAGGGACCGAACAGCAAGGCAGAGGACAGAGCATTTCAATTTCAAAAATGATGTGCTTTTTATTTACCCAAAAAATAAGGAAAAAATGCAAACAACATCAATATCAAACAAACTGGGGCCTAAAAGAGGTCAATGAAAGAAAAGACACTAACTAAATAATTTACCTATAAACACTGAGCAGTCTGCTAACAACTAAATATTTTTCTTCAGATGTAAACAAAACATAACTTGACATATAAAGTTTTAACATAAACTGCAAACAAAGAAACAATATATTTCTCCCAAACTCCCCCCTTTCCTGTATTGGGCACTTGGTGCAGTCCAGGCCTAGTGGATATTTAAACCTGCTGCTGCCTCAGTCCAATGGTTTTGTCTGGACCACGCCCATCCATGGACCAGGAACATGGTAACTCACAAAGAAAAGTTGCACACATTAGCAATGTATTGACAATACAAAATTAACCAAATGTGCATACTTCATTGATTAATTGTGTACTGTATGTCTAAACCTAATGTCAAATCAAATGCCTAAAGTCTACACACATGAACAAAGAAAATAAAAGAACATTACCTAAATATTTCTACTGCTGGTGGTGGATTAAGCCCTCACATGGTGAAGACCAGGGCTGAGGCCTTCACATGTTCATTTGGACATGCAAATGTATTAATATATCATTTTAACAACAATGTTTTCAAAACAAAGAAGACGTGACATTATTGAAAACATTACTTGTTTTTTAAAAGTTATAGACGTTCATTAGGGACAGCTGGGTGGTGTCAAGGCCCTGCCCCTCATCCTGGCACAAGCACTGATGATGGACTGTTCACCCACTTAATTACTTGCATGAAGGTTGAAGAAGAAATGCACTGGTCCAGAATAAACTTAAACATGTGACAACCCTAACGAGCCTTTAAATAACTTTTATGAATATTAAAATGATCATTTATTGCATTGTGCAGTAATAGTTTGGCAATTTCAAGCTTGAGACTCAAATGAAGTAATTCATGTTGTGAGGGGATTAGAGGGCTCTGGGAGTCATTTATTCATCTTTATAAAAGCAGCGCTTTGGCCAGCACCACTTCCACCATGTTTTGGCTGGCCCCTGTGTTTGCCTGGTTTGTGCGTACTGTAGCGTGTTCCACCAAAAACTGTACACATGTGGGAGTTTTGCTCTGCATTCTGAGCTACCTTTCTGCACAAAAGAATTGGTCATATTTTTAGAAACCACTTGGTTATGACATATCACTGAGTCAGCATAATGAAGTAGTTTCCACGTTTCCACCTAAGAAATAAGTAATATTTTAAAATGTATATATTGAATTGTATTTTTAATGTAAAATTAATTTCCTCATTTTTTGATACTGGCCTCTACTGGTTGCTAAAGTCTACCTACAACTTAAATCTACACTCATGGACAAAGAAAACAAAAGAACATTACCTAACTATTTCCACTGCTGGTGGTGGATTAGGCCGTCTGGGGTGAGGCCTTCACAGTGTGGGACTCTGCTGTAGAGCTTTGAGCCTTTTGCCAAGTGGTCAGGCCACACAGTGGATGCTGCCTATGATTCACTCAGGGTTTACAGACACTGTCCAGCGTCATGAATGTTTTAATATGTGTGGCACAGTAGGTAGAGGAGTCAGCATCTTCTTTGGCCTGCTCACCGGCTTCATCTCAGTTTTCATGCTCCCCATGTTATATGTGGACCCTTTTTTTTTCTTTGTTGTTCTCTACGTGTAGTGAACTGTTAAGTCACATACAGTAGCTTTCCTACCTCATGTCCCATATTTAGAAAGTGTACATCTTTGCCTTCCTGTGCTGATAATGGCTTGTGTGTATGTATCGAGCCCTCATCTCTTTGTTCATGGTTTTGTGTTTGGTCACTACATGGAGGTTTGCCTTATAAGAACCTTGATAAGTTCTGGCACTGGTCATCTAGGTTTATGAGTATGGCCTAAGCCTTTGTTTTCCAGTATAGTCTAACATTGCACTTGAGGGTGACTTCTTTTGTAGCCCTGCCATAGCATCTGCCTTAAAGCATCTGTCTTTAAGTTGCCTTAATTCAGTAAAGCCCTGTTACTTTCCACCACATCATTTTACTTCTCTCTCTGCATTTGGATCCCAACAATTTTCTTGGCCAGGTTTTTGGTAGTATTTATATACTGGCTGTATGAGAGGTTTTTCTTTTTTAAGAAATAGTTAAG